AAACACAACTTTCTTTAGTTGAGATAATTACTCAAAATCTAGCCCAAAGGCTCACTTGGAAACGATGTTCCTTTTTCTTGAAAAGTAGCCCAAAGGCTCTTTGGGAAATCATAGTCCCTTTCTTACTCATATGTAAAAACATTTAGAAACTTCTTTGGGAATACATAGTTTCCCAGTAGCTTTTGAGAAATGAACTCTAATTAAACTCTTTACTCAACTTGAAACTCTTGACTCTTTACTCTTTACTTGACTTGCAACTTGAGCCTTAGAATGAAGTGAAAACGTTCAATAAAGACTCTTGAACAACTTTGAAAACTTGCTTGAACTAACTTCTTAACTTTGCTTGACTTGACTCTAACTTCTCTTTAACTTTATACTAACTTGCCTTGAATTGAATTATGGATTCAAGGTATATAATCACATGTTATGGATGAGTTCTTGACATTTAAACGCAACTTAAAGTGTTGGAAACAACTAGGAGACATAGGTACAATACCTAGGAACATGCATAAGGAAGTGTGAAAAGAATGGTGGAACTTGGCGTCCTTGGCGCTCTGCAAGGCGCAGAGCGCCAGCCCCAAAACTTCAGAGGGGGCCTGCTGGCGCTCTGAGAGGCACGCCGCCCCAAGCGGGAAACTTTAGAATCCCTTTTGGGGCGCGCTGGTAGGCGCGACGCGCCAACCCCTTGCCCAGAAAACTCAACTTTCTCCCCTTCTTTTCTCCAACTCTAAACCTCCTAAACCACAAGGTTTCCAGCCCCAGCACTTAGGATCATCAATCTCCTCAACATACAATAGAATACAACTCAAAAACCAACCGGAAACATGTCCCAAATCACAAGGGACTTCAACAACAAAATCAACAACAAATCTAATCTTTTCTCAATAATAAAAGGAGCTTGGTGTGTGGGGGAAAGGATCAATTCACACTTATGAACTCACATACCTAGTAGGGATCACCCCCGACGATTTCCACGACGATCTTTGACGGAAACTCCTTGATCTCCTCTTCTTCTTCTCTTCCTTCTCTCTTCTCCTCTTCTTCACTCAAGAACCCTAACTCTTACTCTTTTAAAATGGAACAAAATGATACACAATCAGCCTAACACAACAATATAACCCCAAAAGAAATGACTTGTGAAAAGACCAAAATGCCCTTAAATTTCCGGACGGATCCCCTGCCAACTGCCCAACTTTCAAAGGGCATAACTCACTCATACGAACTCGGAATCGGGCAAACTCGGTGGCGTTGGAAAGATCATTCTACGAACGTCGCAACCATAACTGGAACTACTCCTAAATCATCTTGATCTAGAAGTTATGACTTCTCAAAGTTGGCCGAAACTCACCCTTTTTCCATACTTAGCCA